GGAAAAACTTCATATCCTTTGTCGATTATGTATTAGATCATTCTACTTGTTCCAAAATTAAAAACTTCCATTTGAATTTCACCCACCTGTCCAAATACGAGCAACGAGTCGGATTTGTTGATGACATAGTAGATTTCAAAATCAGCCGATGGGTTCCTACTGATGAGGAGAAAAATAAAAATAAATTATTGTTCCCAATCTCCCGATGGCTTGCTACTATTGTTGAAAAGAATGTTGAAAATATTGTACTGTTGTCAGATTCATATGAGAATGACTCTATTGACTTGCCTGACACTATCTACAAGTGTTCTTCCTTGATAACATTAGATCTCACGTGTTGTATACTTGATAAGGAAGTCGTCATAGATTGGAAGTCTTTAAAGACCCTACGATTGAATGACATAACCTTAGATGATGACAGAATTGTAAACATACTCTCAGGTTGTCCTGCTTTGGAAATCCTCGAATCTCTTGAATTCTCCGGATTCCGTCATATGGAAATTAGTTCTTCAAATTTATAGAGGCTTAAGTTCGAAAATCATTTGCCGTACTATAACTCTGATGATCTCTCTTTGGATATTTTATATTCAACATTTGGAGATCTCCGGATATATGTATGATCTCAGGTGTAGGCTAGTAAATGTATCCTCTCTGATCAGTGCAAAGCTTACTTTCCAAATGAACCGGACTTGGTTTGATCAAGGTCCTGATGAGCATCAAGTTAAAAAGACACTCATCGAAGATTATCTTCAAAAGTTGAGCAATGCAACTGAGTTAACGATTGGGACTTGCTTCATCTAGGTTTGTTGACCTTACTTGCTTTTTAGTATATAGATATCAAAAAGAGAAAACACTAAGAATATAACACAATTTGAGGACTTTTAAACTTTTTACAAATACAAAACTCTCCTGACTTTTTGCAATCTTTCTGTCAACTTTCTAAGGTCGGCTACTTCTTCTACCATTCAGCTACATTGGTAGATGGTCAGATTTTCCATAACATTATTTGTCTACATAGGATTTTTCTTCCTTTCATTTGTTCTTGGTTTCTCGAACGTTCACTAGTTTCATTGGGATTACCACCTCAGGTACTGATGCAGTTTGATAAGATGTCGCTTCTAGAATTGAAATGCAAGTGTCTAACTCTGGATTGGCATATCACAGAGCCTTATTTCTATGGAGCAGCTATCCTGTTGCGAGCCTCGACTCATGTGGAGACACTCAACATAACAATGGCAACTACTTCTGTAACTTCCTGCAACTTTTGCTCTTTTATTTGCACATCCATTGTAGGAAGTTTTAACATCCCTCCCCCTTTCCTACATTGAACGGTGTTCCAAAATGGATGCAATCATGCAAATATATCTTTGATTATCAACGAGAGACGTTTGTCACTACAAAACTTCATGTTAAAAAAATTGTCGACAAACTTAAGAGTTGTTTCTCTTAGCTTGGTCTACCAATTCCAAGATTCATCCTAAGAGGAACAACTTCTGTAATCATTTTCCCAGAACCATTGAAGATTGGTCGATTCAGAAATTGTTCTATACCAGACACTTGTCCTATGAAATCACATTTTGTAAGTTTTGTGTATTATGATTTTCATTTGACTATATTCTCTTTCCAGTTGGATCTTGAGCAATGCGCATTTGAGTTGGGATATTTGGCCAAAGAACATGATATTCATTTCCTGTCAAGCTTCGAGTTTTCCAACCTTAAGAATGTCAAGGTTGTCAATGCTTCCAAGATCTTCTTGAAGGAGCATCTTGAATGGGATTATGATGATCTTTTCAACTTTTCAGAATTTCTACTAAAGAATACAAAAGTTTTGGAGAAGTTCGTAATTATATCAAGGTGAAAAATTTGTAGTATCTGTTCAATGAACTGTGCTTCTCGATATTCATCTCGATTGGCTAAGAAATTGGTATGTTGCCCAAGATCCTCAACCAGTTTTGTGATCATTTGCGAGGAGGGAGCTTTCTGTGACTAGATTGCAAGTCGTTTTCTGTTTCAGTACCATAAATGTTACTTCATAATTAGCTTTTGATTTACTGCTGGTGAAAATCTTGAATTTGTCTATGTAACTAATAACTATTTGTTCTTGTTATCATGTCCTTGTGACATACCAGTGTTATGGTTGTTTGGTTTCTCATAAAACTTTTCTTTGTCGCATTTTAGATGTTGTGCATATGTTTCAGAAATTCTAGCAGGCTGTTTCCTTAGATTGACTAGCCATACTTTTTCTCATAATTAGGGTTATGAAATGATGTGTTTTGCAAACTTTGTCAATGACATCAAGGTATTATTATCAGAAGGTGTTTCTACTGTTAGTTTATCACAAAGATTCTGTAGTCAATTATGATTGAGACTTACAATGCAGTCAAATGCTATTTTTTTAACTTAAGGTCGTATTATAAGAGGGTTATGATACATCTGTTTGATTCACCTAAAATCTTAATATATTAGGTAGATTTGAGTTGGGCTTAAATAGCTTACTAGAGGTTGCAAAATATTTGTGGAACAATAGCTTATTATATCAAAGATAAGAGAGTGCCGGAGATGTACAATGAAGTATGAACTGTGAAAACCGATATTATTTTTGGTTGATTGAGAAATTGTTAGGTTGCCCAAGATCCCCCACAAGTTCTGTGATTATCGTCAAGGTGTGAGCTTTCCATGACTAATAACTGCAAACAGTGTGCCATGTCAGGATGCGGTAAATGTCGTCTTATGTTGAGTTTTTGATAAACTGCTCATGCAATCATGAAACAACTCTTTAATATAGTCCTCCTATATAGTACGAACAATTTCATCACGTTGAACATGAATTTTCCGATAAGATGATTGAGAAGACGAAACAACATTATTACTTTTAGTTAGGGCTTTTTTTTTTTTTTTTTTGGAAAAAAGTCAAAAATACTCTCTCACTATGGAATATGTCCTCCGTTTATATTTTGGTCAAAAGATGTCTTTCAATATTCAAAAAACGATCTTATTATTTAATGAGTCAAAAATACCACATGACATTTTCAATGTAGAAAAATGTTGGTGATCACAACACTGAGTTTCACCATGGAAGTGAACTCGATTCAGAACTCAAAGAGAATGGACAAAAGGTCAGGGACAAAGTTTGATTATCTCTCATTTTTAGGACATTTTTATTCTCTTTCCTATTTCTCGAAATCATCTCAACCTTTGATCACAATCAGATCTTATCTTCATCAAACTCATCTTGATCGTTCATTTGGGAATCATGACAGCTGTCCAAGGAACATTCCAGATATATTCCTTTATATATGTAGATATCGTTTTTATTTATTTTTGTACATTTACAATTAGTCAGTTAGAGAGAAACAAATGAGAGAAGGACAGCTGGTAGTATAGTAACAGATTTATTCTTTTCATTTTGTATAAATGCACATGTACAGTTTGAATGAAATACACAGAAGAAATTTTTCTCTATTGCTTTCTCTCATTCAATAAAAAACTCAATTTTCCCTATCGGTGCTTTATTTCCTCATTTGTTAAGAGACAATTATAATGTCTTACAATTTAGATGGTTTTATTTGTTTTTCAATGTAATGTTATGCTTCTTTGCAGTTAATTATGAAATTTTAACGGAATAATGATTGTTTTGTATGTATTCAAATATTTGTGTGCTTGAATTAGAGGGGAAAAGTTAAACGAGTAATTAGAGAATCTAGTAGCTAAAATCAATTATAGTGACCGGATTTGTTATCGTCATAAAGGATTTTAACGACCGGAATAATAATCTACAAAGGACAAATTTAATCGCTAAAAATGGAATATAACAATCGGAATTTATATCGTCCCTAAAAAATCTCTAACAGCAAAATCCAATCGTCAACTCTTAACTTCAAAACTTTTTATTGATTATGCATTAGCTCATTCCCTCTCTTCCAAATATAAAAAGTTCCTCGAATTCCATTAGACTACAATCTCTGGTCTGACTACAACTCCTTAGTCAATCGCTGCTTTAGTTTTACTGTTGAGAGGAAAGTGGAAAATGTTGTATTGTGGTCATATGATGAAAAGATCTCATTTCCTGAATCTCTCTATAGACTACATATGTTCATCCTTGATATCTTTAGATGTTCAATCTTGTCCTTTTGATCTTCCAACGGTCATATCGTGGAACTCTCTAAAGAGCATCAAGTTGGGAATTATGGTGTTAGACGATAACCAAATTGTGAAAATATTGTCAGGTTTCCCTGCATTGGAAACTTGAACCATTATTGGTTTGATCGGCGGGAAGATTGAGAGTCAGAAATTTTTGACCCATATCTTCCGTATTTTGGAAATATCTGGAGATCTCTACAATCTCAGGTGTAGACTTGTAGATGTATCCTCCATTGAAAGCACCAAGCTTACTTGATTGACGTTCAATGGTAATATCTGGTAGCTTAGTAGAATTTTATACAAAGTAATATCTGGTAAAATGTTCAATTTGCCTCTTTGCTAAATGTTAACACCAAAGCTCACACCCGATGTCGCTTTAAGAAAGAGAATGGTAATGGGTCCATTACATGTTGTAGAATGGTAGGCTAATGAACAGTCCGGCAAGAAAATGTAGCTAGCTCACTGCTAGTCTGCAGCCAAACAGACAGAGAAAATGTAGCTAGGCTATTTATATATACTAGCAAAGCTTAATGCAAAAAAATTCAAATAGTCTGTATCAAGGATTAAAAACTAGGAAGTTGTAACCTTAAATCGACAGAATTATACTTCGACTCCAATGACAATTTTGCAAAGTTCATTAAAATCCTCTTCAGCAAAACAGAACAGTAGCTCTATTGCAACAAAGGTAAAACAGAAACTATTTCTTGAAACCCCTTATCGTCATCTAAATTTTCCCTGAAGAATGGATATTTCAGACGAATCAAATAAAGAGATCTAACCATACATTCTTATATGACTTAAATATAATGATTCATCAGAACTGAAAGCTTCAAGAATGAGAAACTAAGACATCATAACATTTGGTATGCCACAAGATAAGTAATTAATTGCATAGACAAGTCATGATTGTATGGGTATTCGCCAAAAACTCAATATAAGGCAACATCTCGTGTATCCTAAGATAGAAAACTACTTGCAGTCTAATCATCACAAGCTCACTACTAGTAGATAATCACACAATTTGTAGAGGATCTTGGGCAACAAAACAATTCCTCAGCCAATTGAGATAAAAATGTGGACACACAGTTGGTTGAACATATCTTGCACATTATTCCCTTTGATATCACGAACTTCTCCAAAACTGTTGCATTCTTTAACAGAAATTCTGAAAGTTTCAAAAGCTTGTCAAAGCCCTGTTTGAAATGATCCTTAAAGCACCGCTCTCCGGGGGAGTTGATAATCTTAACATTCTTGAGGTTGGGAAACCCAAATAAAATCCAGTTATGCAAATCAATATCATCTCCTTTGACCAAATCTGATAACTCAAAGTGGCAGTGGGTATCTTCAAGCTGGAGAAAGAGAATTTAATCAGGACTAAATTCAAGTTAGCCTCATGGATATTGCACAAAAGTGGGGAAAAAATGATTTCAGAACCAACAAATCTTATTGGTACTTTTTAAACAGATTATGATGATTGTTCCTATCTTAAAGATTCATGGCCTACGTAACCCAAGCAAAGAGTGGATGGCACCCAACCCTTTCCGTTTCAGACCTCATTTGCCTCAAAGAAAGCAACAACACCAACCAACTAATGTTAAGCTTTGCCGTGACAAAAGAAAAATTCTAAGGAGGGGTGATTAAACTCATAAAATGAATGGATTTAAAAGAAGAGAGGAAGTTACAGATTTTGTTGATAAATCTATGTCGCGTCCCTCTATGTCTAGTGCCTCCGTATATATATTTATGTTGAGTGTCTCTACATGACTTGATGCTCGCAGAAGACCAGCTACTCCATACAAATTAAACCTCTTCACATGCAACTCCAGCGTCAGATATTTGCATTTCATTTCTGGAAGTACAGTCCCTTTGAACAGCAACATGCACAGAACCTGTTGCAATAATCCCAATGAAACTAGTAATATAAAGAATGGAGAAAGCAATAAGTACAAAAAGAAAGTACTCCATGGCAACATAAGTAATGTGACAAATCTATTGAATTTCTTTAACAGTATATGCAACACGACAGTAATCAGCAGACATCTTTATACAAGAAAATGTGGGTAACATATAAGAAATAAAGTCAAATACAAGAATAACAAAAATTGACACAACAAAACAATTTGCTTCAAATCTATGAGCTAAACCAGTTCATCTCCTGCAAAGGAGCTCAAAGCATTGGATGAGTTATATGAGCCTCAAGCAAAACTTATTTGGATTGGATCATCATCTCGGTGTGGTTTTACGCAAGTCTCAACTCATATGCACCAGCCATGGTAATATACCGCACCCAAGGAAGAGCCTGATATCCACTTTTTTCTATTATCTTCAAGTAGCGAACCTAATCATCTAAACACTTTAAGCAACAATCGACACAGAAGAATCCGTGATTTCAGATACATGTATTGCAGATATGACAAAAAAAATACCCGACATTCGAAAGTTGACAAAAAAACACAAAAAAGCCACAAGTTTCTGCAACTCATCCAGTTGAGTTTGTGAAATTTGTACAAAGGTTAATTCTCAACTGTCCAAGGAAAAGTACTCTGAGATAAAAACAGACCTCTGTTAACCAAGTTCCAATGGTTAACTCCTTTACATTACGGAACGTTAGAAGGTAACCGTGGACGAGGGACCTAAAGAATTGATGATAGCCACTACAACTGTTTTCCTCAGGATCAAAATGTAGACCATAATTATCGTTGATGTCTTTGATACACATAATGTTGAAAGTAAGCTTCGCAGTAACCACAGCAGACACATCTACGAGAATACACTTGAGATCATAAAGACCTCCTGAAATTTCCAAATGCTGAATGTACGGGGCAAAAATTTCCACACAACGAAGACTTCCATCATTAATCAACCATTGACCATTCAGCTTCAGTGTCTTTAACTTTGAAGACATAAATTCCAAGCGATGAGGACCATTAAGCATAACTAAATCATGTAATTCCATATCTTCCAATACAGGACAGCCTGACAATATTTTTGCAATTTTGTAATCATCTATAATAAAATTCCCCAATTTTAGGCTCTTTAAAGACTTCCAGGCTATGACTGTGTCATCAAAGTTAAAACGACCCAAAACTACTGCTAATGTTATCAATGACGAACATTCGCAGAAAGATTGAGGCAATGGGAAAGGGGAAGTGATTAAATCAGTAGACCAGAGTAGAAGATGTTCCACTTTTCTAGTAGCAGCAAAATTAAGCCATTCGGTGATTTGCCAGCGGCTTTCAACATCGCAATAACTGTAGTCGAGTTCGAATTTTTGTATTTTGGGAGAAACAGAACGAGATAATATATAGTTAACAAAAGATGTGAAATTTTCTCGGTAATTTGTATTAGCAAAACTGAAGTTACGAATGGAAGTCCAGAGATAAAGCCACCTTTTAGAGAGAATACATGTTGTGTATGCATCCTTTGTCGCCGAACAAGACAGAATTTTGATCAGAAGTTCATCCGGCAACGAACTGATACGGTCCTCTAGGGTTTCTCCAACTCCGGTCATTGGAATTGGATCTAATTTCGAATTGTTTCCTCAAGCAAAGTAAGGATTTTGAAAAGAAGGCATAATATATGGAATTGGGTTTTAGTTCACATTTACGTTTATGTCCTTCAATTTTTAGATAATTAGACCATTAAATTTGTATAAATTTAAGCAAACAGATACATGTGTTCTACATAACATCCTATCTGACAATTTGAGTCTTACATGTATTATATCACGTAGGACTCACATATATAATATACATATATAAAATATATAATTTAATAATAATATATGTTTATAGTAGTGTGGTTTACCTGTCCTATGTGATTTGCAAGCTATTGCATAGGAGCAGGGATTTTACCCTGTGCGCACCCAAAGGGTAGTGGCTGCGGGTTTTCCCTTGTCATCAATTTTTTTTTATATGTTTATAGAAAAAAATCCAGTATGGCGACCCAATTTTGGTACTGATCCGATCTGGTTCTAAACTAGTACCTATAGGACCAGATCGGAACTTTGGAAAAGTTTCGGTAAACTCGATTCCAATAGGATCGGTTCTGGTAATTTTGCTCGGTATAGAAAAATCGGTTATGATACTGATAAAATCGATTTGATTATGTCTGATCCATTGTCAGCCTTAAGATTTGGGCATATATTTTCAATTCATGCAGTAGACATTGTTAGAAAAAGCTCTAATTGTATAGTAATCAGAAAATATATTTTTTCTTAGATAGGACTAATTTACAAAATATACATTTATAACCATATATACTCCTTCCTAGAATAGAACTCTAACTCTCCAATTGTATAGCTATAAATATTTGCTTTTCTACTGTATCATGGATGAATAGAGAAAACTATTTTTCGGAATATCTTTTGTATCTCTAGCATGGTATCAAGAGCCATTGTTTAAAAAAAATTGTGCTCTTTGCTTTCTTTACACAGGTACCTTGTTATCTTCATGCGTTCCTCTTGTCTCTTTGTTTTCTATACACAGGCATCTGTCCTTTTTTTTTTCTCTTTCTCTCTTGTATTTTGTCTCCTCAATGAATTCACAATCATCCTCGCACGATTTGCTCTCCACAAAATTGGATGGTTCCTATTTTTCACTATGGGAATTCCACTTTGGAATTTTTGTTCTAGGAAAGGGCCTTTTTGGGTGGTAAGATGGTTCTGTTGGTCTGCCAACAGATGAAAAAGAGTTAGATCGCTGGAATTTGAATAATGCAAAGGTAATCGCTTGGATGCTGAATTCGGTACATGTTAACATTGTTATGGGACTTAGACCATTTAGTTCAGCTTCAGAGATGTGGCTCCACCTGCGTAACGTCTACCAACAAAGCAATCTAGCACGAAAGTTTGAAGTGGAACGCAACATTATTGAATATACACAAGGGGACAAAAATGTTTGTTCCTTTTATGCTGTCTTGCAGCTGCTTTGGTCAGAACAAGATCAAATTTCTGGGAGAAATATGTCTACCGCAGGGTTCAAGGAAATGTTAGGAGAACGACAAAGGACAAGGATGGTACAGTTCTTGATGAAACTCCGGCTTGAATTCGAGTCGATTCGTGGCAGTTTGTTGAACAGAGAAGTCACACCTGCTCTTGATGTTGTGTTGGCAGCCATGTTGCTTGAAGAGACCAGGCTTAGAACTCAGGCGACCATAGAGTCGATCCCATTATCCGTTATTGCATTACTTGCACAAAAATCAACTATCGATACTTCATCAAGAAATGCTAAGATAAGTGTCCAGTGCTATGAATGCAATGATTTTGGTCACATAACAGCTAATTGTCCTAAGTAGAAGAAATTTTGTGCTTACTGTATGATTACTGGCCATCATATTTCGGACTGTCGTTGTCGTCCAAATTGTTCATGGTCTGCTTACCAAGCATACCAAATGGATGTCACTAAATCGACTGGTTCCTTCCCTTCTAGACATGATCTTGAAAGGCTGATTCAAGATTCTATAGCAGATGCCCTTCCCGGAGCCATCTCAAGTGCACTCTCGGCATCCTCAGGTACAAGTAATTCTATTAAATCTACTTGGCATCTAGATTCGGGTGCTTCCAATCATATGATCGGAGATCTGTCCCAATTTTCTTCATTGTATGATGATGTTTCTAAATATGTTATCCATACGGCAAACAGACATACATTGCCCGCTTCAGGTATTGGTTCTGTTGGAAATTTGTCTAACATTCTTTATGTACCTAATTTGAAGGCTAATTTGGTTTCGGTAGGTCAGCTAGTTGATCAGAATTGTATTGTAAAATTCTCACCCAATGATTGTGTTGTTCAAAATCTGAAAATCGAGATGACCATTACCAAGGGTCGTAGAGTTGGCAGAATGTTTCTTCTAATGTTACTCGCTCGAATAAGTTGCTTACTTTTTGGCATAATAAGATGGGTCATCCTCATTCCTCTCGACTTCAGCACATGCTCAAATCATGTATTCCATCAACACATGGCATTCATTTAAGTCTCCCTTTGACATGTTCTAATTGTGCCGGTTTGAAAAGTTACAAGCTTCATTTTCCATCCAGTTCATCTTTTTATGACGATCTGTTTGATTTGGTACATAGTGATGTTTGGGGTCCTTCTCCTACTTTGTCAAGGATGGGATATAAGCACTTTATGTTATTTATTGATTATGTATCTAGATACACATGGGTGATTTTTATTTGAAATAAATCTGAGGTTCCGACTCTTATTATGAATTTTTTTTGAGTATGTGTATACATAGTTTCATAAAACTATAAAAATATTTCGTTCTGATTCTGGAGGAGAGTACACTAAGACTAATCTTGTTGAGTTTTTCAAAAACAAAGGAATTATTTCTCAACGCACTTATCCTCATACTCCGGAACAAAATGGAGTCGTAGAAAGGAAGAATCAACATATTTTGGAAACTACATTGGCTTTGTTGGGCACATCTAATATGCCTAAGAGTTTCTGACCTACATACTTCTGTATATTTGATTAGTAGACAAACTTCCCCAGTCATTGTTAATGAGATACCGTACTTCAAATTATTTCATAAGAAGCCTGATTATTCTCACTTGCGAGTTTTTGGTTGTGTTTGTTTTGCCCATTTTCCAGCACATGAACTACAAAAGCTTTCAGCAAAGGCAGCACAATGTATTTTTGTGGGCTACAGTGACACACAAAAGGGGTTCTATGTTATGATGCATCTCGTCACCAGCTTCGTGTATCTAGACATGTTATTTTTTTTTAGGGTCAATTTTCTTACAAACACAATTATAAACATGCTTCAGAATCTGTTTCCTTTTTGTATAAGTTTGGTGATGATGTGGTAGCTACTGATCCTCCGGAGCAGCCCATGAACTATGATCATGATGATCTCGCTACAACACAATCTATTTTTAGCTACAAAATTTAACCTACAAATTCAAAAATCGTGGCTATTATTTAGTAATAGCTACAAAAATTTTAGTTTTATAGATATTTAAAAATTAGTAAATTTTCTTAGCCACAAAAATTAATTTGGCGAAGTTAAATCCTCATTTTTGTTACAATTGCTAATAATTGTGGCAATAATTATATGAATAGCTACAACTTTATTTCTACAATTCAATTTTATAGCTGGTTAAAATTTTTTACCACACAATAAAAGTTATTGTAGCAATAGCAACTTTTTAGCCACAAAAAATTATTTGAAACAAAATGATGTAGCTAAATAAATATTTTTGCTTCAAGGTATAAAAATTTGTGGCAATAGCTAACTGATATAGCCACAAGTATTTTGCTATAGTAAAATTTTGTAGCTAATGATTAATTTTTGCCATGAGTTGAAATTTACCATAGCAATAATAACCTTTTAGTCACAATAAATTATTTAAAATAAATTATTATAGCTAAATAAATATTTTTGCTTCAAGTTGTTAAAAAATGTGGCTAAAGTTAATGATATAGCTATAGATTTACTGCTTTAATAAAATTTCGTAGCTAATTTTTTTGGGTCACATGTTGAATTTTTTTGGTATCAATGATAATTATTTTATCCATAAAGGTTTAATTAAAACAAAATATTATGGCAAAGTAAATATTTGTTTTGCGTACTAAAAAGCATGACAATGGTTGGTTGAATAGCTATAATTATTTGTCATGACGAGATGATATAGCCACAAATATATCATTGTGTTAAAATTTTGTAGCTTATAATTATTTTTTATCACGGGTTAAAATTGTTGCAACAATAATAATCTTTAGCAACGTCAAAATATACCTTTCTTGCATCTAAATATAACTGGAGTTATTAATCATTCAATTCAATTTTACACAGTCTTATTTGTAAGTTTCAAATATAGTTCAAATAAATAGTTAATTATATTTTAATTGATTTTAATTAATTATTCATATCAAATTTAAACAAAATTTCTCGAAGTCTCGCCTTAAACTTCATCCTGATCAAGTGCTTCCATAATTATTATTTGTCTCAAATGTGTTTCATTGAAGTAATACATTTATCGATCTATTGTAATTAGTTGTGTCAATCATTCAATACAATTTAATTTTATATATGATTTAATTTGAATAAATAAGTGATTATATTAACTTTGATTAACTAATTATAGAATATTTAAACAAAACTTTAACAAGTCTACTCAAGCTTCATCCTGATCAAGTGATTCTAGAATTGTTATTTGACTCAAGCATGTTTCATGAGAACATTATCCATCAATCTAGTGTAAATAAAGGTATTAATAATTCGATTTGATTTTATGGGCATAATTTTAATAAATAGGTAATGATATCTAACAATTTTATTAATTAATTTATCAAACTTAAGAAAAGGTACTTCACTAAGTCTCGCTAAAGCTCCATCTTGATCAAGTGCGTCAAAAATTACTATTTTTTTGAGAATTTTTCTTTGTAATTAGTTTTGTTAATCATATTATTCGATTCAATTCAATTTTACAATGGCTTAATTGTAAGTTTCAAATATAAATTAAATAAATATATGATTATATTTACTTTAATTAATTAATTATATCAA